GGCGGACTTGGGTAGGAGGTCTCCGCCGCGGGCTTGTAGGCCCGACATCTCCGCGGCCGAGTTTGCCGCTGCTTGGGGCGAAACAATTCGTCTGGTGCCCAGGTTTGGGGTCTCACAACCGAAGCCCGACGGGTCGCTGAAAGTGCGCCCGGTGGATGACTTCGCGCGCTCCAGGGTGAACGGCGCGTGCGCTCCCGCCGAGGAGTTAAGCGTAGAGGGCGCGGACCAGCTGGTAGCGGTCGCGCGCGCCTTCTTCGAGTTGCACGGCGCACTTCCCGAGCTGTGGAAAGCGGACGTAGATTCCGCTTGCCGCCGCATCCCGTTGGCCCCCGCCGATAGGTGGGTCGCTGTCAGTGTTTTCAAGGAGGGCGGCCGCCTGTGGTGCTCGCAGCACCTGGTCTGCCCGTTCGGCGCGCTAGCATCTTGCCACGACTGGGACCGCGTGGCCGCCATGCTCTCGCACTTCGCAAGGCGGCTCGCCAAGCTGCCAGTTTCGCGATACGTAGACGATTATTTTGCGCCGGATCGCCCCGGCGCGGCCGACCACGCCATGCGGTGCTTCGCTCGCATCGTCAGAGCCGCGCTCGGCAGCGACGCAGTAGCCGACGCGAAGCTGGCGCACGGGGCCCAGCTGGTCGTGTTGGGGCTGCTCTTCTCTTTCTGTGCGCAGGGCGTGCACTGCGAGCCAGCGTGCGACAAGCGGCTCAAGTGGTCGTCCGCCATCCGGCATGCTTTAGAGTGCGGCACGTTGCACCAGGGGCGCTGCGAAGAAACTCGCGGGCGCTCTCGCATGGGCCGCGCAGCACTTGTTTAAGCGCTTGGGCAGAGCAATGCTCCGCCCACTCTTCGCGCACCAGCACAAGCGCTCCAATCGTATCGGGCGGCCTCTCGAGCTCGCGCTGCACTGGTGGGCCCAAGTGCTCGAGCTCAGGCTGCGCGAAGTGGCCAGCTGGAAGCAAGGGGACATGCCCGCGGCACACATGTTCTGCGATGCGCGGAGCACGCCCCCTCGCGCCGCCGCCGTGCTTTTTATAGACGGCGAAATCCTGTTTGCCGAGTACGCACCCGACGCAGCTCTGATGCGGAATTTCAAGCGCAGACGCGACGGCCAGATTATGGGCCTCGAGGTCTTGGCGGTCGCATTAGGCTTGTCGTCTTTTGAAGAGCGACTGGCAGGTCGGGCGCTGGAAGTGTTCTCGGACAATTCGGGGGCCGAGAGGTCAGTGGCGCGCGCGAGCGCCCGGGACTGGGATCACGCAGCCCTCGTCCGCGGCATTTGGTCTCTCGCGGCGCGCATGTCCCTGTCGATGTGGGTGCGCCGCGTCCCGTCCAAAAGCAACATCTCGGACGGGCCGTCCCGCGAGGTCTACAGTCTCTTGCACCTGCTCGGCGCGCGCCAGGTGCCAGCGGTGCTCGATGCGCGGTTTCACGCAGCCGAGGCCTGGGAGGCGCTGTGGCTCTGAGCAAAAAGAGGGAGGGCTCTCATCGTCTGTCGCTTCCCTGCATCATCGGTTGCGTCCGCGTGCAGGTTGGACGCCGCGCTGGGAGCGCCCGGCGTCTTCCGCTCCGCGTCCGCGCGCGCCGCACTGGGAGTGCGGTCCCTTCTTCCCCCCCTCCCTCCTCTCGCGCCGGCCCCCCCTTCCCCCCCCTGTGCCTCCGCCCTTCGCCCCCCTTCCCCCTCCCCCCTCCTCCTCCCCCCCGCGCCCCCCCCGGTCGCGCGCCGCCACTGCAGCCAGCGCCGGTCGCGCGGCGAGGGGGGGGCGTTCCTGCTCGGCCGCGCGTCGCGTTTCCGATCGTTTGTCGTCTGGTGGCGTGGATGTGACGCGCTTGGCGCTTGGACTGCGCAGGGCGGGCGTGCCTGGCGTTCCGGCCATCGCGCGCGCCGCCAGGCTCAGTCGCTCGTTTTTCGCGCGCAGGCAATGATGTGGAAGTTGATCTGATTGCAAATGTACTGGTCGCGAACGGTTTCGAACACGTCGCTGACGCACGCGGCGCAAAGTGGAAACGCGTAGCAGGTTTTGAGCGTTTCTCCGCAGACGCCCAAGCGCGCTTGCGTGAGATCGCGGCGGGAGTTCCGCGGCCGCCGAGCGGGCCGCCTCCAGCGCCGTCCCGTGTGCTGAAACAACCGGCGCTCGCGCGCGGCGGCCCGGGCGCGCTCGCGCCGGGTGCCGCGTGCGACAGCGCGGCGAAGCGAGAGCTGGCGCGCGCTTACAGGGCCGTGCGCAGCGTGAAATTGTCACCCGTGCCCACGGGCGGCCCTCGCAAGTCCGTCGCGAGCGGCGCTCGCGGGCCGCCGTCGCCAGTGGCCATGCAGGACAGCCCGGCCCGCGCGCGAGCTTTGGCAATCGTCGGCTCGGCGCCGCGTTCCTTCGGGTCCTGGGGGGCTGCGGTCCGGGCGTGGGTGGCTTTCGCGCAGCGTCGCCTCAACAGAGACGGCTGCAGCGCACTGCCGCCGTCGGCCGACGAGGTGTGCTTGTTCGCGCTCGAATTTCGCAACCCGCGCACCTTCGGCAATTACGTGGCACAGCTTAAGAAGGCATGCCAGTTGTTGGGCCGGGACGCGTCGGCCTTTTCGCATCCTTCGGTTAGGGGCGCCCGCAAGGCCATCGGGAAGCGGCGCCCCGTGAGGCGGCCGCTGAAGTGTTTCGTCCTGCTCTCGCACTTATCGGCTATGCTCGACTTTGTAAGTGCCGACAGCGCGATGTGCGCGCTCTTCTCGGTGTCCTGGGGGTTCGCTCTGCGCGTGCCCTCCGAGGCCCTCTTGATTGAGCGAGGCGACCCATCGGCATTTAAGGACTTCGCCTTCTCTGACGAAGACCTGCGAAGGCCAGTCGCAAGAGTCGTCATCTTCTTTTCGGGCGATTCTGCAACGTTGCATTTCTCGCGGCGTAAGCACCGCGACGGCCCGACGGTCGCGGTGCGGAATTGCTGGTGCAAACATTCGCGTGCGACTTGCATTGTGCACGCGGCGCGTAGTTTTTTCGAGGGCATTTGCGTCGGCTCGCCCGCGTTCCCGCATATGCGGCGAGTCGACGGCAGCGGCGTCGTCTCAATCGCCGTGCCCGCGCAGCGCGCGATCAAGGCGGCGGCGCGGCGCGCCGGCGCACCAAGCGCGGCTTCTTTACGAGCAAAGCGTTCCGCCGCGGGCACGCGGAGACTAGGCGGAGGTGCAACGGCCGCCTTTGTGAGATCCTCCGCGGTGCCGATTGGAGTTCCCGCGCTTTCAAAGAATGCCTTGATATGCACCAGCACGAGGGCGATGCGACCGCCGAAGCAGTGGCCGCAGCCTCGTGCCCAAGCGCCGGCGCGGCGAGCAGACCAGGTTCTGCATCGGTGCCTGCGGGGTAAGTCGGCCAGGCTCACGATCGGCGCGCGCTGCGACCTGCACCCGGGGTTCCATTGGGTCGCGGCAGGCCTGGCGCGCCCCGACCAGACGAGCTTGGGCGCTTGCGGCGTTGGGTTCAACGCCCAGGCTGGCCTGGTCGGGGACTGTGCGCGTCAACGAAAGCACCCCCCACGCGGGGCGCTCGCGGGGCGGCAGCCCTGGCTCGGTCGCCGCACCCATCGTTGGGGCGTTGGCGCCCGAGGTCGGGTACACAAGGAAGGTGCGCCGAGATTTGTGGGGGGCGCGCGCCCGTAGGGTGCTGCGCGGGCACAAATCGCAGGTCGGCCGACGGGCCCTGCGGCGCCGCGGCGCGTGCGACGCGCGCCGCGTGCAGCCCGACCGCAGCGCGCGCCGCCCGCAGTCGCGTCTTTGCGCGTCTGTGTTGTTTCGCGCGGGCCTGCCGCGGTCGCTCGCGCAGGCGCGCCGCGGGGATCGCGCGCTGGGCGGATCGCGGCGCGCCTTGGCGATGCTCGCTTCGCAGGTTGTCGATTATATTGATTTGGGCACCGCGCTCGTGCGGCGCTCGCGCCTTGGGGTTCAACGCCCAGGCTGGCCTGGTCGGGGACTGTGCGCGTCACCGAAAGCACCCCCCACGCGGGGCGCTCGCGGGACGGCAGCCCTGGCTCGGTCGCCGCACCCATCGTTTGGGCGTTGGCGCCCGAGGTCGGGTACACAAGGAAGGTACGCCGAGATTTGTGATGCTGCTGATGATGATGATGGTGATGATATGACGATGCTGCTGATGATGATGATGGTGGTGGTGGTGATGATGATGCTGATGCATGATGAGGTTGATGATGATGCTGATGATGCTGATGATGATGATGATGATGGTGGTGGTGGTGGTGATGATGATGAGGAGGATGAGGAGGAGTGTTTCGGACTTGTCAGCGCTCGAAGCGCCGTAGCGGCATGCCCTCGTCTGGCCCCGCGGCCAAGGCCTCCTCGCCCGGACTGTGCGCCTTGTCGCGGGCTTGATGACATTTCTTCAATCGGCTGGCGGGGATCAGGCAAATACATCCAGGTACGTAGCACCCCGCAGTTGCGGATAAGAGTGAGGGGGCACACGCGGGGTGGGTCGCGGGTGGGTCGCGGGCTGGGTCGCGGGTTGGTCGCGGGGTGGGTCGGGGGGCGGGTCGCGGGTGGTGGGACGACGACAAGAACAGCTCAAGAACGCAACAACAATCCGCTCCGCGGAACCCCACTTCAGCCACGCGCCCAGGGACAGTGAATGACCGTTCGGCCCCCCCACTGACATCTGGATAAGTAGTCATGAAAAACCCAGGGATCTCTGGAGAGCAAATCGCGGTCGCTACAGCAGGGGTCAAAAGGGCATCAAAAGTCGTTAGGCCGTGAACGATGTATGTCGCCTCCAGTCAGTTGTGCAGGAAGGTTGTCTGGACGGGTGCACGTGGGCCCCCCAGATCAAGGCTGGGCGCCTACTGCCTGCGCAGGAGGAGGGGGGCCAGGCATCTGGCGCCTCGATATTTATCGATGCTGGGCCCTTGGGACCCTCGACCGCTTGACCAGGGTCAGTTCCTCATCCCGCCTCGCTCTTGACAGCCCCGAAGGCCCGCGGCTCGCCCCCATTGGCCAGACACTGGTGGCACACCGG